TCGCCTGCCTCTGCCTCCCGAGTGCTGGGATTAAAGGCGTGTGCCACCAACGCCCGGCTCAGTTCGGTGTTTTTATGAGATTCCTGAGTGTGCAAAAGAGTGGTCTCTGCATCTATATCTGTACTTCTACATTTTCTTGGCCTCTTTTTACTTCTGCATGTTCATATTGTCTTATTATTATGTAAGTTATTTTATTTTGTCCCTTAGAAGACTGTTTGTTTTCTAATAAAAGACAGAATGGAGATAAATCTGGATGGTAGGTGAGAAGGGAGGAACTGGGAAGAATAGAGTGAGGAGAAACCTCCCTCTAGATACATTGTATGAGGAAAAAAATCTATTTCCAATAAAAGGAAAAATATAGATGGCAAATGTGTTTCTGTTCATGCCCAAATTATAAATGCAGTAACTGTTCTAAGGTCACACATAGATTGATCAGGTCCTGATGTTGTGACAAGTCAGGATTTCTGAGGCGTTGAAACATGGCCGCCTGTAGAATGAACATTTCTTCTTATATCCATAATGTCAGGGGGCATTGCAACTTTGCTACCCATCACAAGAAACTCAGATTTTAGTTCATGATGAATTATGGGTCTCTAGTGGGGTTCTACTGAGAGACATTGAAAGGAAGGCAAATAATTAGTACCTACCAAAGAGACCACTTCTTGGGAGCGCATTAAATCTGGAAGCTAGACAAGTTTGTCATTGATATTTCAGGACTGATATTCTTAGTCTCCATTTTACAATGTCAAAGCCTTGGGGTGGGAAAGGCACCATAGGGAATGAGATATTCTACTTACAAAGGAAGTGATTTTGCTCAGGTGTCATTTTCTGTAAGTCTCAGTTTATTTGTCTCCAACACAAGGATGAGTTGGCTGTTTTCAGGGTCAATTGAAATAGAATGCATAGGTCCCTATGTGGCCATTAGATTGAAAATGTTCCAGGTAAAGGTTAGATTCACTGTCACTCCTCCTTTCCTTGCTCTCCTCTGTGGATGCTACTGCAAAAGGCTTCCAGAACTAAGTTACAGGAACACTGAAACTCAGACTTCTGGGTACTCTGTTATCCTCAATGACACCAATTAGTTAAAAACTGTTTGTACATGTAGGGAACTGTTTCATGGTTGTTTTATAGCATCATCTCATTTATATCATATTATTTTTAAAACATGAAACATAAGGAACCATGGTTTGAAATTTCAGTGTAGAGTTTCAAGCAGGAGTCCAACCATGATCTTCCCACTGCTGTAATTGTGTAGCCCATAAGACACATTATTTTAGAGCCCAGTGGCCTTGATATATTTTGTCCACGAAAATAAGAATATTATATTTGATATGTAGGTCTTACCTGCTTTCCTTGAGAAGAAAAAGACCATACTGGTGAAGAAAGAGACACTGGACAACAGATGATGTTCCTAAAAGTTTCCAAGAGATCACTTACCTAGCTTTGTGATCCTAGTCCTTTAGATGCCGTATGGATAAAGCAGATGCCCCCAAAGATTGTCTTGAGGATGAGAGTAAAGGTCAATTACCTTCTGCAATTTCAGGTTCATATATGCAATACATATTTGTAGTGTTCTTTTTCATACCCAGTACAGAAGTGCCTATTCACTGCTGTAGCAGGTTGTAGAGCTGAGAATTTGTCAGCTCCTCTTGCTCAGAAGAGACTGGTAGCCTCCTTTGCCTACATGCTGCTCTTAACAGATGAAGAGTTAATTGAACCTAGCAAGACCTATGATACAGAGTGTCTGAAAAGGGTTGGGTTTATGGACTCTGAGAGCTAGGGGAAAGTTATTCGATACATGCCAGCTGCCTTCCTTCATCACCTTTAGGCTTATGCATGTCTGTACATATGTCTCTGTCTCTGTGTCTCTGTCTCTGTCTCTGTGTCTCTGTGTCTCTGTGTCTCTGTGTCTCTGTGTGTGTGTGTGTGTGTGTGTGTGTGTGTGTGTGTTTGAGTAGCCATAGATAATCTGGTACAATTTCCTCTAAAACACTTTTAAATGATGAGAAGAAAATAAGTAAAGCAGCTGTAAAGCCAAAATCTTCTTTTGAAAATCATGAAATTTAGAAAAAAAAACACAGAGAAGATGATAGCCTGAGACTCTCTTGGTTATTCAAGTTTGCTATTATTGCAAATTTGGCTTCTGTTGCATCTGAAACAACAACAATAATAATAATTAAAATAGTAGTAAGACTCTGAATTGCAGCTGAGCTTCCTGCAGCCATTGATTCTGTGTGTTAATGAATGTGAATCTCTGTAGTAGAGTTTTTCAGTGACATTTGATAATGCCACAGGATGTCACAGGGTGAATTTTAAGAAGACAGTGCTTATAGAGTTTTTTCCCCGTTCTTTAATAAGTCAGTGTTTAAAAAACTGTGACAGGAGGACAATGATCAAAGAATAGTGAACTCTTACTGTAGCACTCAGGCTCTATCTGCTTCAACCTCATGTGGCTTCCTATTTGTCTTTAAGAAATGTTTCCCTTGGCATGTTGTCCTGTGTTCCAGACACATTTCTTCCCGTGAATTTTCTTAGACCCCTTCATTGCCTGGAATGGACTCTGTCACATACCTGTCAGTTGGAATTCCTAACAACAGATTAAAAATGTCCTTCACAGAGAATCCTCTGAAGCTTTTGGCTCAACAGGATCCAATACTTCATAGCATCCTTGTATTGCTTACAACACATTATCTCTGCTCTGTTTTTGTCAACTTACCTTACATATTCTACTATCGGTCAGATTTTTTTATTTTCTTATTAGTTCAAATTAGAAACAACTGTCAGATGTTTTTAAGGTAAATGTTGCAACCTGACTTATTTGTTGTATGTTGTATGTTGTATGTATGGTTAGCATGGGGTTGTACATTAGTTGCATACTCATGGCCACTTTGAGTGTTTATTGAATAGAGGGGGATGCCAAAACAGGGTCAGGAGGATTGAATACCATCCCAAGAATGCACACCAGTCATATAGCTTTGCTTCATTAACACATGTCTGGGTTATTACATATCATACATTTTGCCAGCTTCTGGGAACAAAGATGACAAGTAGAGCTTAGCTTCAGTTCTAAAGTTATGCATAGACTCCTAGAGGAATTCAAATCTAAACAAACAAATGCAATGCCGAATGGCCCTTGCTCAAAATCACACAGCCTGTGGGCAATTGATCTGTGATTAAAATTCAAGTCTATTTGGCTTCAGAGTCACCAAGCATGTCACTTCCAGAGCAGAAAATCTGGTGTTGTCGAGGGTGGTTTTGGATCAGACCCCTTAGGGAGTAGCAATAGTCTCTGCTGAACAAGCAGCATGTGGTCCTGCTCTAGCAACACTGTTAAATCAAATCATTTTGTTTCATTCACAAACTAGGTCCTCCAGAAGCTGGGGAAAGCTGATGAAACAAAAGATGAACAGTTTGAAGAATATGTCCAGAACTTCAAACGACAAGAGGTGAGTCCACATCTTAGGTTTCTGCAGCAGGAAGAACTGTTGGTGTTTTCATGTGTGGTATGGTTTGCATCACTCCCCAAGCTCATGTGTAGGAAGTTAATCCCTACTGTGAAGTCTTCAGGTCCCAATTTAATCTACTATGGTGTTTAGAGGCAAGGCTTTTCAGAAGTGGATAGGATTAGAAAAAGCCATTCCTGGTGGCTTTATAAGAAGAGGGATAGAGAGCAGAGATTCATGCTTTCTGATTCTTGCCATGTGACTCTGAACTGTCTCAGGTCTCTGTCAGTAAGCCTGTCATTACTGCATATCTTCAACAAGTACAAGCTAAAGTAAATCTCAGGCCTTTATACTGCACTTAGTCTGTGATCCTGTGTTGCTGGCAATACAAAGTGGATTAACATAGCACAAAGATGATACTTGATATTTCTATGTTTTATAGAAGACAAACGGAGAGGCAGGGGTTACAGAAAGCGAGTTTGGAGTATGGTTTCAGGATATTATATTGTGCTATTCTGTGCCTTTGCAATGAGATGGCTAAGCTAATGGAAAGATGTTGCTTTTGGCACTCCATATTTCATAGAATCCTAGAAAGGCACTGTCAATTGATTTCAGTTAGTGTGTGCTTTAAGAACATGCAATCTTTGGCTGGAGAGATGGCTCAGTCAGGAAAATTCTTACCTCACAAGCAAGAAGATGTGAGTCTTATTTTTATCACACATATAAAAATGTAGGACATGATAGTATGCACGTATAATCCCAGGGTGAGGGAGACAAAGACATGAGAATCCATGGGGTTTGTTGTCTACCCAGTCTACCCTAATTGGTAAGCTTCAGGCCAAAGAGACCTGTCTCAGAGGACGTGATGGTATTTCTGAGGATAGTACCTTAGGTTGTCCTTCTGCTTCCACACATATATCCCTCCCCACCAAAGGCACATGCTCCCACACCCATACACACAGACACAGGTACACCCAACCCTTCCCCGACACAAAGAAAAGATCATGCATTTTTGACACACATTGCATCTTTCCAAAATACCTATTCTCAGTGGGTAAAATGGAACTGAACTCTTGATGCCAAAGGCACAGATAAATATGTGTTAAATTCATAAATACATGATACAGCTACATTGCTAAAATTTCATAGAGTATATATTAAAGTAAGACTCCTCATAGGACATGAAAGTAAAAAGTAAGTTTGTAAAGCAGTGTGTAAGAGGCTGGAGAAATGGCTCAAGGGTTAAGAGCACTGACTGTTCTTCCAGAGGACCCGTGTTCAATTCCCAGCACCCACATGACAACTTAAAATTTTCTATGATTTCATTTCCAGGTGACTCAACACCCATGGCAAACAAACAAAAAACAATGCACATAAAATAAAAATAAATTAATTTTAAAAAGCCAGGGAGAAGCACTGTGTGATATTTGTCCTTTTAATGGATATTTGTTGTTTAACAAGCACATGGATGAATAACTAAAGTACTTTTTAAATGGCCAGTTTTAAGGCTTGGATCATTGGCTCAAATATCACTGTCATAGTAGAGAAATGAAAAGAAGATGGGGCCAGTAGACTATGGAAAATTGGCTTGCACATGGGGCCAATGTCAAGATGAAGACTGTCTTTGGAGCTGCTGTGTCCATAGGCTATCTTAAGCCAATCTTAAATGGAAGATCATTGTAGGTTATTTGGTCAGCTTTGCTCTATATAAAAATCCCCTGATCCTAGAGGTTCTTTCTTCCAAGTTGCATGTGGGCTTCTATTGTTTCTGTTAATGGGAGACACACCATTTCTTTTCCTTGCCAAGATGGGTTATAAAAGTCAACAGCCGTAGAGCCATGTAGACTAGTCTCCATTAAAATATATTCCTGAATATTGCCAATTATATTCTAGAACTAAGGATTGGTGCATGTGGATAGGAGCTCAACTTATTATAAACTTTGGAAATCTTGTTCTATTTAACGAGTAAGAAAGAGGAGGGAGGTGGAGAATGTCTTAGTCAGAATTCTCTAAAGGAAGAGAACTAACAGAACAGGAGATTTATTAGATGGGCTCCCAGCATACAGTAGGGATAGTAACAAGGCCTGTGTCACACTAGAGAGGCTAGGAATCCAGCAGTTGTTCCATCTACCAAGCTGGTTGTTTCAGCAGTCCCTATCTGGCACTGAAGGCCTGCAATATTCCTTGAGAGCTGATGGTCTTCAGTGTACTTGGGAATCCCAAAGAAGTTGGCTTTCATATTGGCGAAGGACTATCAGCACAGGGATAGATGATCATGACAGTGAGAGAACAAGCAGGCAAAAGCAAAGCTTCCTTCTTCCATGTCCTTTGACCTGGGCTACCACCAGATGGTGCGGCCCAGATTTAGGGTGAGCCTTCTTGCTTCAAATAATTTGATCAAGAAAATACCTTACAGGAATGCTCAGCAAAGTGTGTTTCAGTTGATTCCTGATGTAGTCAAGTTGGCAACCAACACTGGTCATCATCATAAACACTAAAGGAAGTAGTAGAAAAAAAAGGTACCTTCAAATTGCTGACTACTACTGTGAATTTGGATTAATTAAAATGGAAAAGAGAATCTAAGCGATATGGTAAGTATGGGCCCACTGGATAAATTGTACCTATTGTCCCCCAGTACAATAGATTCTATGTGTCAGCATCTGTTTTTCCCTTGCACAATTCTCCCATGTCTCCTGAACTTGGATGGCATTCCACAAGGAAACTTGTACATCACTGCCCTGTTCCTTCTCCAGACAACCCCCAATGTCTGCTTTTGGCAACTAGATTTAGATTGAAGAAGTGACTCAATCTTAGAGCTGTTTTCCCTTCTTGAGGATTTATGATCCTCTCTTCAAAACTCAATCTTCTTGTCTAGTGAATCACTGTGGATCTGATTAGCTGTATTGGGTTTTCTGTCTATCACTTTTCTGGCATTTTTAAGTTGCCCAGAGTCCTAGCTGGAAAACTGTCCTGGTCTATAATGTATTCATTTCTAGGTGGCACTCTGCATTTTCCAACTATAATTAAAAGAGTCCATTCTGTGGACTTTTTTTTAAACTGCACTATGTCAGAAAAATTTTTTTCCTTGTATGAGGTACTAGAAAAAAGTATAGTTTGTTATATCATTATTTATATCAGATAAATGGTCATTGCCTCTTGGAGAAAAGTCTGGGGTAGCTTTACTTCACTGTTCTACCTCTATTCTTTCTTTCTTTCTTTCTTTTTCTTTTTTTTTTTTTTTGGTTTTTCAAGACAGGGTTCCTCTGTGTGGTCCTGGTTGTCTTGGGATTCACTCTTTAAACCAGGCTGGCCTTGAACTCAGAGACCTGCCTGCCTTTGCTTCCTGAGTGCTTGAATTAAAGGGCTGCCACTGCCCTGTTCCACCTCAATTCTTGCCACTACACACACTTCTCAAATGTGATGGGGCAAGTGGCTGATAATCACCCTTGAAGGTTTGCACATTGGCTCTCTTGAGCAAAATAACAGATTGAAAATCTGGGCAAAACTCAAAAAGTTTGAAAAATGTGAGGAACTAATTCTGTTTTATAACCATGAAGTATGTAGGCAGGACAGAAGACATACAGTTTCTTGAGTCTTTGAGAATCCCATTGACTTCATTTTGAAAATATTTTTATAAAAACATCACGTATCTACATGTTTTTTCTTGATGTTTCCTAATGGAATCAGAAAGAGTTGGTTTACAGCCTTTATCATGGAGTATAGGCATAATGTGTTAGGGATACAGAAGTAAGGAGAAGAGGGTTAAGGAGAGGGGATTAGTTCTTTTCTTTTTTTATTGAGAAGATATATTTTTATTTTAGAAATATTCTTGTTTTACACATCAATCCCCCTATTCCCTTGCCCTCCCATCCTTCCCGGTCCCCCATTCTCCACCCACTCCCCAAGGATAGTGGGGGCTTCCATGGGGAACATCAAAGTCTGTCACATCATTTCGGGGAGGGCCTAGGCCCTCTTTTGTGGATCTGGGCTGCAATAGTATCCCTCCATAGGGAATGGGCTCCCAAAGTCCATTTGTGCACTAGGGATAAACACTGGGCTACTGTTAGAGGTCTCATAGACTGCCCAGGCCTTCTAGCTGGCACCCACATTCAGAGGGCTTGGTTCGGTCCAATGCTGGTTCCCCAGCTTTATGACTAGGGTCTCTGTGCCCTCACTAGGTCAGGTCAACTGTTTCTGTGGGTTTCTCCACCAAAGTCTGGGCTCCTTTGCTCATCCCTTCTCCCACTCTACAAATGGATTCCAGGAGTATGGCTCAGTGTTTAGCTGTGGGTGTCTGCTTCTTCTTAGATCAGTTACTATATGAAGACTCGAGGATGGCAACCAAGGTAGTCATCAATCTCATTATAGGGGAAGGACATCAAAATCAGCCTCTCCACTACTGCCTAGATTCTTAGTTAGGGTCATCCCTGTGGATCCTTGAACATTTCCCTAGTGCCAGCCAGACCTCTCTCTAAACATGTACTGGCTCCCTCTTTTCTTGCTCTCCTCTATTCCTCCTCTGTCTCATTCTTCCTGATCCCTCTTGTTTCCTCCCCCTCCTCTTCTCCCCTTCTCTTTTTTGTACTTCCCTCCTCTCCCCCCATGCTCCCAATTGCTCAGGGGTAATTGTCCCTTTCCCCTTCTTTGGGGAACCAAGTGTTTTTTTCTCTTGGGGTCCTTGTTTCCTAGTTTCTCTGGTGGTGTGGATTGTAGTCTGGTAATCCTTTGCTCTATGTCTAATATTCATATATTAGTGAGTACACACCATCATTGTCTTTCTGTGATTGGGTTACTTCACTCAGAATGTGTTCTTCCAGTTCCATTCATTTGCCTGTGAATTTCAAGATTTCATTTTTTTCTGCTCAGTAATATACTCCATTGTGTAAATGTACCACATTTTTTCCATCCATTCTTTGGTTGAGGGGCATCTAGGTTGCTTCCACGTTCTGGCTATTACAGACAATGCTGCTATGAACATAGTTGAACATATGTCCTTGTTCTAT